TCAGAGGTATTGAGTCTCTCATAGACCCAATCAGGCGAGCCAGCTCGGGAAGGTTACGAGTTGCCGCTTTTGAGGACGATAGGAAGATCATTTGTACGTCGACTCAAGGTTGCAGACAAACATCTTCCGATATAATGGCCGAAATATCGACGATGGCGACGTCGCTACCATCTAGAGATACCATCGATAGACGCCTGTGGGTTGCTGGAATACATGGAGGAAGACTGGTCGAAAAGTATCTGGATCTGCGTAAGCACCTTCACTGGTCTTTCGACTAACGGCGCGAAGTCATCTAGGGCGACTAGTCAAAGGTTCTTCGGCTTGGTACACTTGGGTTTCGTTCGTAGACGACCTTTCAAAACACAAGTTCCGACCCTAAGTGTCATTTGACAACTCTCAGGCATGATGCCTGCTCAGTATTGGTTTGAGGATGGTCTCCGAGTCTAGGCATGGGGTCCATGCACCATATTCTCGCCACTACGGCCCAGCAGATGTACATAGATATTGTGGAGAAATCCATGCTACCTTTCTCCCGTCCTGTGCACGGAAGAAGATATATTTTCCAGCGAGATACGACCCCGGACACAGATCTAGAAGGGGGGTGCGAGTGGCTGGCCCATCGGGAAATTCACCCAGCCAGTTCCCTGACCTGAACATCAGTGGACCTTCGTGGTATGAACTCAAGAAAAGGATAGCCGATAAATCAGTCACAAATGCTGCTCAGAATTTTGGCCTATTTGAAGAAGAGTGGAAGGAGATTGATTGGTGTCTGATCGACAAGTTGGTCGAATCAATGCCCCGAAGATGCCAAGCCATCATCAATGCTAATGGCTTCACTTCAAAGTAATACACTAGTAGGTAAATAGGTTCAATCTCATGATGATAGCGTTCGAGTCGAGTGATTTATTTCAAATTATTGGAACTGATGCTATTTTGTCCTGTTTAGAAAAAATGTGAAAAGTGGCCTTTAAACGAAATAAAAAGGAGTTTTGTGAGTTCTGTGATGGATACATTAATACCATCACTGTTGACAACATATCCAAAAATCAGTCAAAAACACTGAGTTCGAGATGAGTTATGGCAAAAAAGGTTCGAGGTGATTTCTTTTTGTACGGTACTGTATACAGTGTTTCAAAAGTATAAGCACACCCAACATTTTGTTTTTTTGGGAATACCATTGCTTTCTGTAACCTGTGACCTTCACCATTCAATTCCTTGTGTGCGATAACCTACGAACACTTATTCTGAGAGAACATCGTAGCTGCTAACATAATTTTTTATTATAGAAAAATTTCTTCTTTGTTTCAAAAGTATGCGCACACTTAGCAAAAAACAAAAATATAACCG